TGCACATTTTAATAAATGAAAACATATTCTGAACAAAGTCAAGCAATATTATTCTTTAACAACCAACATATTGACAACTAGGATGGCTGAGGTGTCTAAAAAAGGTTTTCATTTTTTAGCTTACCAGATTTTCTAAAGTGTTTCAAGATACATGTCAAAATGAAACATAACTTCCAGTGTTATCAGACCTAGTATTTTTCTGCAATTCAGATAACCACTACAGAAGCCTCTGTTGCCAAATACAAAACCTAATGAAGAACTGATGAGCAAAGACCATATTTAAATGATTACTGATGACATGCAATAAGATCAAGAAAGCAGTAATAAAATTCAGTAAGCATTTTGAAGAGTGGCATTTCAGATGGCATACAGGATTGTATCTTTACAGGTACTCTTTACAGCTAGTATTCTTCCCCTACTGAACTCTACATACAAAGTAATTTTCCCAAAACAATGCATCTAGGTGATTCTTTGTATTAAAAAGAGCACAACTGACTCTCACAGGGGATGAAGATTCACAAATTCATGTCAAAAAAACAAAACAAAACACCCCATACGAGTACAGTTTGCAATAAGCAGACACTTTGTTTGCTGCATGCCCAGGTTTAGAACACCAATTTCATAAGAACTGTTCAACCACAGTGAAACCGAATCTTCCACTGCACCTTTTAGAAGGTTCTGCTTTCCTAACCTAGGTGACTATTACCTTTTCTAAAACTTAGTGTTTTAGTTGTAATACACTGCAGTCCATCTTGGGTCTAACCCAGCACAACATCTTTAGGCTGCAACTTTTGATAAAGGGCACTTAGATTATGGCATTACATAGAGAAAGCACAGTCCTGCCATTCGTTTCTCAGGCTATATTCATTTCAAGAGAAACGGTGGAAATAACATGCAATTTTGCTTTGCAAGGGCTTGTGTAAAAAGTGCGTTATCGGTTCTGGATGAGGACAGCTCTGGAAGTCCATCCATACAGAAAATTCTTACAAATACCAGTCCTGCTTCAAATCAGAAATACAGAAGAAGCAGATCTACACACACTGTATGTATATACCTCTAATCAGACAAATGGAACTCAACACACCTATGAAGTCACCAAATAGCACTGATATTTGTAACTGCGAGCTACTGGTGTCCTTCTATGAGGTGCAAAAACCGACTTCTCACCATCTTTTATAGTTTCAGAGAGGACCTGTCAGATATTCAGCAAAGAAACAGCAAGGATAAGAGGGAAAGCTTTTAGACATCACTGGCATGGAGTTACCGTGAGGTTATCACCAAGCATTCAAGAGATGGCTGGGAGAGAACACAGTAGTTCAGCAAGAAGTTGCTGCTATACTACTCAGATTCAGTAAGCAACATGCTAGTCCTGAGGCAGTAGGAAGGTTAATGATATCTTATTTGTTCAGTTTTCCTCCTGTTACCAAACTTTTAACTCTTTAAATTAATACATCCTCTTCTTCAAAAGCTGTCTTTAGCAACTTTTAAATCTTTCAATATATATAAAGCATATTGCTTCTAATCTTCATAGGATGTTTAATTTTTAAATGTATTTGTTAATAGGTGCATGAAGTTAACATTATGTAAAATATTTCCAGATATCACAATAATAAAATGATGCAAGTACCTATTCTTAAATTTTTTTTTCCTCCCCAAAAGGCTCAGCTTCAGTGTTTTCCAACAGTCAAATTCTGAATTCCAGTACACTGTAATTTATAATAAACAAGAAAGTAGCCCTGAGAGTAAACATACTTTTTAGGAGCTGCTATTGCTTTACATAAGTCAAGCAGAGAAGTCACTTCCATTGTACTCAATTATTTAGTTTTCTGTCCTTCCTTTCTCATAGGAGATACATACATGCAAGCAAGAATTTCCAAGGAATCTGTACTCAAGCATTAGCCTTTACTGCCTCAGTACTTTAATTTGTTGCTCCAGGATTATGGCACCAATCCTGCAGAAGCAAGTTAAACTTTAACAAAAAAGTCCTCTTTCCTTGTGCCTTGAATTCTTAAAACAAAGGCTCCAACATAGCTGCCAGCACAGGTCTTTAGTATAACATTGACCTTCTACCTTGTGACTCAGAGTTTACAAATAGGGAAACACAATTTATACATCTCGAAAATCAACTACCAGTGTTATTGAACACTCTGCCACTGGCCTTTAGGTGTTGCTAGACACGTGCAATGTTGGGAAAACAGAGTACTAAGTGTGTCAAGTGATTCATAAAAAAATAGACCTTTACTTTTTTTTTTTTTTTTAAGCTACAAGATAGGCAATCAAGGAACTGACTAGGCTCATGCATAGCTAGGGCTGAAAGGATACCAAATGAACTCAACATCTTGGTAAAACTGTCCTCAAGCAATACATGAGTAAAACCTCCCAAACTCGGACATTCTAACCCATAAATAACACAGTTTTAAGAAGTCTATACTGAAATTGATTTAAATTCTTTACCTAACAGCCCTGCACAAGACAGTATACAGGATGTTTAAGGCTAATTTTTTTTTATGTGCACATGCATAAAAGCTGGTCTTGGAACAAGAGCTGTCTTATTTTCTTAATTCTGAGCTTTTAGCATGGATTCATAATAAAGTAGAGCTGCCACTGCAATGAGTGGAGTTGTCCTGTACAAAAAAAAAAGTCCTGAAACCAGATTGTTTTCATAAAAAGCAAGAACCTCGCATTTCCATTTGTTTTTTCTCAGAGCAGCTCACTAACTCATACAGTACGTTGTCTGATAACATACAATGTAAACTAAGAGACGCTCAAGCACTATGATAACAGGTGCAAAAGAAAGGTGAGGAAGCTGTTGCTATTTGGGAGTCACTCAGTGATGACAACAAACATGAGAACGCAGTTTTGGTGAAGTCAGTTAAGTCTCAAGGCTGTGATGATGTGATGAAGGCTGCTCGTTAACTTTAGCCCTTTGGTTCTTAACTAATCAGTTAAGATCTCCTGATAAAGCACTAGGCTATGTGGCATTGACGAATCTTTCCATATGCTGTTACTGCAGAATAAGCACAGACTTACAAGTAACTCTTTCATCTGAATAATCCTCTCCCATGAAACCAGTCATGTCAGGTTTACACAAAGCCAGCTAAAGCAATACATTTTAGACTTCAGATCTCAAATTTTCAGAAGAAACTTACCAATATTCATAAAAAAATACAAAAAACCCACAACTGATACTACAGAAAATTGAAGCACCAAGCCATGTAATCTCCTCTCCCTAAACAATTTCTTAGTGTAAATCAGAGCTGTGACTTCAAAACAGTTTTTTAAACCCATCTATATAATCCTAACTATTCTGATGAGAAGAGCAAGGTGACAAACCAAGTTCTGCTCATTTGCTAATTTAGCAAGTGTCATACTTTAATATTTAGTAAAATATTTTTCATTTTTGGTATGTTGAACTTTTGCATAATGTTTTAAAAAGGGGGCTTGTTATACCACAAATGCAGGACTTATAAGCTAGCACAATTTACTGGTATTAGTTCTGTAAAATTTACTGTTATCTGACAGTTATTTGTGGCATTTACAGGAACAGAAAGGGTTTACCGAAACAGTGACTGTTACCTTCAAAGGTACACAGATAATTCTTCTTTAAGTGAAATGTCTGCGACCAAATTTAGCATATTAAGCACTGAAGACAGTTGTTATACTTGCAGTATAACATTTAAATAGATGCAACTATGAGAAGACTTGAGTATGCAGCTGATCCTTGGAAGCTTTATATATATATATGTGTGTGCGTGTGTGCGCGCATTATAAGTCGGTAAGAACTCATATGCAACAGACCAATATTCAGACCCAGAGAATAAGTTGGTTTTAGAAGTAGAATTACCCAGAGAATAAATTTAAAATTACTGAATCTACTCTGCAAGAGAGGATACAAGGCCAATTCATTTTGTATGCTGATGTTAAGCAACTGCAATTGCATTTTACTCAAATCCCAGTAATGAACTTCAACACCAGAGAAGCCTTACCGAAGGTCCAGAATAGTGTCAGCTTGAAATGGTTGCTTCCCCTACTTTCATTTATCAGGGTTGCCAAAGAACCATAAACTGCTGCATGTCAATAGCAAGTGTCAGAAAATCCTGCGCTATCAAAAGGTTGGCTATCAAAAAAGGAGAACGTGTCTGTTGCAGTAAACTGCTGTTTGACAAATACCATACCCTATAAACCATCACCCTCACCAGCCCCACAAAACCCTGCTATGGTGAAAGGGAAGAAACCACTCACGTATTTCACTGCTATGTGGCATGGAACTATAATATAGTAATGAGCCAGGACAGCGCAAATTTGTGCCAAGAGTGGTTAATGATTCAAGTTGGCTAATGCTACCAATAGCCAAGAAATCCTGTAAGAGGCAAGGAGCATATTTTCTGGGGCGGGGGGGGAGGAGGGAAAAGGTGGAGGGAAAATAAGAGGATTTGCGTTTTCCCACCTCTACACAAAAATCCTATGCACAAAGGCAACACTGCTGGGACAAGTGCTTTCAAATGCAATTTTCCAGGCAATAAACACAGATGAGAATTCCGTGAAGGAAGGAGTCTTAAGAACGTGACTTACCCAAAACACGAACTTCAGATATATTTTAAAAAAACATTGCTTTTTGGATACTCTTGTTTAAACTCTTTTAAGAACATTATTTTTTCTTATTTTATTTTGGGCTGAGCCTGTTCAGCAGTCTCAAATCATGTGACCTTGCTGAAGTATTTCAGCAATCCTTTGGTCCCAAGAGCTGGAAAACAGCCAAGAAAATAAACATTTCCTACCAAAAAAAAAAAAAAAAAATTAAAAAAAAGGTGGGGGACTGTGCTCAGGAAATTATCTTTTGAACACTTTGCTATGCACCAGAAAAAGCAAGTTTTTGTTATAAAATACACATTTTCATACAAAAGACATCTTGCAAAACCATTTGATTGCCCCTCCCTTTGCAGATCACAACAGCAAACGGGGTCAGATGGTTGGTCTTGAGATTTTTTTTTTTTATGGAAAGAAGTCGTCAAAGGACACGCTGTATCACAAGAACTGGTCCTTTAAACAGCAAAGCAAAGGATTGACAGTCTTCATTTTCACCAGTGTTTAAAAAAGCAGGCAAGAAAACAGAACTGGAGTCTTCAGAAAGTGCAGACAGAATATCTGCTGCTGCATCATCCTGAACTTTTCAGCATATTACCAAATTGTCATATGTACAAGCAGTTCATTTATGACAGCGCCACAAGTTGTTAAAATGCAAATAGTCTGGACAGAAAGGTCTAGTCAACTGGTTCCAAATGTTTCCCAGGAGTTTCCCAGAAAATAATGTCAAGACAATCTAAACCTATCCTTCGGCTTCTTCAGTATGTCCTGATTGCTGGAGTAAGGAGGTCTGTGGTATTATCGTGCTTGTTCCACGAGAGATCCTGTCTTGATCTGTGTTTGCAGATAGGGAAGCCACAGAAATGGGCTGTAACAAACTGGGTGTCATGCCAGAGGAGACAGTCAGACTGTGAGTAGTGCCCTTGCGTGTAAGATCCTGTGTAGGAAGAAGTGGTTTGAGGATGCTGACAAGACAGAAAGCAGAACCACTTTTAGGAATGAAATTCACTTTGTTCTTGTCAGGGCAGTAGAAGGCTGGAATTTCATGCAATGGCTTTGGCCTAGAAAGAAAATACACAGAACAGTTTAAACCAGCATTGAAAACCAACATCAGATTGTGCCTCTGACAGCTACGCATTGCTGAACATGTCACCACAGACATGGTGGGTAGGTTTAAGCTTGAAATGTTTCAGAGACTCAGTGCTGCTTTGTGACATTCCTGCCTCATGCCACACTCAAGATGGCTATGAATATGTTTATTCATCCATATCCTGTCTGAATATTTTTTCCCCCTAAAATTTAGAGTCTGTAGAAAAAAAGGTATTCTACAAACAAATTAGTAATAAAATAAATACCAGGAATTAACCTGTCCAATTCATCTACAGATTTTACTCCTGATATTCACAAATATCAAGCTAGAGCAATCAGCAGGGAAATGGCAGCAACTATAAGTTAACATCCCAGGCTGGTCTGTGAGGCCACAAACTGGGTGCTGTTGCAAAAAGGTTTGAATGCAACTGGTTAACCAGTGCCTGGATGGGCGATCAAGTTCCACGCTTTGGAACAGGAGCGGATTTCCTGGTTCATAGTCTTCTTTGAAAACGACGAAGGAACAGACTCGAGGCGGAAGAATAGAGCAATACAAGTAGCAGGTTCTCAAATTAAATAAGCTCTAACTCAGAGCAGGATCTTAGAGGCCCAGAGTCCAGGGACAGCCTAAGTAGGGACCAGGAGCAGTGGAAAAAATGTAATTGTTGCCTAACACCTGACCAACTTCATAAGTTTGGGGGAAAAGTAGGAGGAAGACAGATAACATTACTCTGCCAAGAACTTTACAGAGGCACTACTACCCTGAAGAAGAATAAATGGCCAGGTTTCTCGCTTATGCCAGATTTATACAGGCAATGCCAGATGTCAGGAAGAAAGGCCAAGGTTTGTGTGAAAGTGGGTTTAGCATCCTTGGATGTGGTGTTGAGATTCAAGGGAAACATCCCATGATGCAAAGGTACCTCAATTCACATTTGAGTCTCTATCGTAAATGGGATTGAGAGGACTTAGATCTCCCTGAGCCTCAACGGATAGGGTGGAAAAATAACCATCTAGTTCTGGAAGAGCCATCTCAAACCCAGCAACGTGCCACTGACCCACAGCTAAGAAGCTTTGACATTTCCAAGCTGATGGAACTTCATTAAACCTGCTTAGTTCCTCTCTTTGTACTTGATTTGAAGATTTTGATTTTCATACAAAAGTCCAGCAATAAATACACACCAGTATACAGTCATACAAAGCAGACTGTGCTGTTAGTGTTGTTTTAGTACTTAGACTAATAATTTTGATCGAACACAAAATCAGTAAGTCAGTGGGCACCTCAAAGCATTAAATGTTTTTTCTCATGTAGTAAAGATCAACTTACAAGCTTTCCTCAAAGACTTTCACTTTTTCACAGCCTTCTGGAGGTTCACGCTTGAACATGTAGCTGTTATTGGGTTTTGGTGAGGTAGCGTATTTTGGGAGTGGAGAATTATTCCCATTCTCTGCAGAAATAGAGTTTCTCATTACTTAAAAATGATGCACTATAAAAATCAAGGCCTCTCTAAAAAAAGCCCCCAATACTCAAGCCATCAGCATTATAAAACTGCAGAAACACTTTCATTCACCTGCCAGTCTTCCCTTGTAAATAAGCTTTTCTAGCCCAGTTTCTTCCCTCCTTTTCATTTTCCTTGTATCATTTACAGATCCTTCTGCACACTCCATTCATTGCCTGACGCAGTTTACAACTGCACACCTGAGGTCTAGGGTCCTATCCTCCCACTGCCTAGCCAAAAGAAATGAGCAGGAGCCGTATTTCTTAAAACAACAAAGACGACAGTTACATAATTTAACAGAAACCTATTATTGCTCAGAATTTTTCTGATTGAAACAAAAGCAAAAAAGAAAACAAACAACCCTCCCCACCCCACCCCCCCCCCCCCCCCCCCCCCCAAAAAAAAAAAAACACAACCAAAACAACCCATTACATTTGGCAGGGGAGGTAGGAGAGAAAAACTGCCAGCAGGTGGAACATTACCCCTTTTGGCCTAAATCATAACAGATCCCTAACAGAGACAAGGAGACAAGCGTACTTTGCTATTGCACCTGCCACTGCACACTCCTCTTCCTCCAATTTCCCATTGAAGATACTTAATATTTTATTTACTAACAAAATAATGCTGTTCATTTCTCATATCTATCCAACTTCAACAACAGAACACTAGAAATGTATTCTGCACACATATGAGTTCTGGAGGAACACATACTTCTATCTTTAGTACCTTTATCTCTGGACTCAGCAAGAAGATCATCTGTGGAACACGGACTTTCCTCACTGCCCTCAGTAGAGATGGTGAGAAATGAGGCTGGAGACACTGACTGGGAACGGCTGCTGTTGTTACTGCCTCTGTCTGCTCCACCGGGCGTTTGGGTATCAATGCTGCGGGTACTACTGCTACGCTGAGCCAGTGGAGGGGGAGCACGGTGCCCATCAGGAATATCTTGGGGCTGTCAAAAATAAAAGCATCAAATTGTATTAGAGGGTTGTTCTCATCTGGTTAGCAATTTCTGTAAACCCAGTAGTGCTGAGGATTTTTTCCTGTCTGTTTTCAAAACCTGTTTGAAGTTGAAAGTTTTGTACATATACACAAAATTTCAGCAGAAGATAAAACCTGGCAGTTTTTGAAACTAAGAACAAAAAACCAACAGTTTAAGATTCTGTTACTTCTTTTACCAACTTACTTCTAAATATCCCTGAACATAAAACATGAATGAAAAATAGGAGAGTTATACTCCATCTGAGGAGAGATAGGAACCCCTCTTTGGGATGAGCAAAGAAGGAAACAAGAGTTAATAGGGAAATTCTCAAAATAGTTCTCTTTTCCTCTGTCTTATTAAACTTGCTTATTTCACTGAAAAGCTAACTATGTCAGAGCAATGACAAAGAAAAAGGTTCAGCTTCAAATTTTAACCTTTTTTTTTTTTTTTTTTTTTTGCTTTCCGAGAGACCTTCCAACAACTTCTACTATGAAAACAAAATTAATTGCAGAAAAACTTAAGGAACTTTCAAAGGCCATTAGGTTGACAGATACATACAACAAGCTGCTCTTCTTTGTCTCCTGTCTCCTTAATGATTATCTCAATTTCTTGATTCAGTCCTTCTATGCTGTTTCGGAACCGTGATCCTGTTGATTTGGCAATAGGTATCACAGGAACAAGAGCAGTCTTTGGAATGGGAGGCTGAAAAACGGAGGCAGAGAAAAAGTGATGTAAGTTTACTTACAAAACATAGTTAGTATTTTTACTTAAATATCAACCTTTAACCAGAACATATCTATTTCTAAATATCAGAGACTTAGGAGAAGCTGTAGCAAATATATTAAAATAGATACCTTTAAATGAGGAGACATTCAAAAATGTTCAAATCAAATTTGTAGCAGGAAAAGCTTTGCCTCCCACACTACATTGCTTTAAAAGTGGAAATTAAACAAAATCCTCAAATTTAAATAAGACAAATCTTTTAGGCACAGAGCCTTTAAAAATATATTCCAGTTCCCCTTGAAATGAGCTGTACCACAATTTCACTTTCTTCTCCATAGAATTTACTTCTTGTAACTTCATTATAATTTTGTTTTAATGGCAGTCTGCTGTCACCTACAGTGCTATGACAAGAGCAGAAGGAAAAAAACGTGTTTTTTTTTTTCTTCCCCCTCTCCCTCCATGTTAACTCTTTTGCTGGCCATATCTTCCTCAGTTACCAGGAAAGGGGGTTTGATCATCATCATTTTGAAGTCATATGTGCAACATGCATTATTGTTCTCCTAGCATAAAGGCTGAATAAGCAGTTACAAACATGCATAAAACAACAAAAACTGAATTCTGTCCCATTCAGCGCTGAAGTAACTACGTTCAACTATTACTGCGCAAATTTTGTAGGTGCTTTCAATGTTAAAAGAGACTATACTCATCTTAAAAACACTGTTTTTGTACAAATGCCCAGGACAAGGCCAGGTGACTAGTTTTGTGCAAATCAGAGTTTTGGAAGTCACAGTTGTCCCATCTTAATCTGTCACTAAACATCTGTTAAAATTTAGTTGATATATTCATATATTTGTGAGATATCAGTGGGGAAAAGTCTGAGAAACTAGCCATGCTTTCCTATTGATTTTCTTAAAGTTACTCAAGCAAAAGAGATCTGAAAAAGAACTTGTATGTCAGAAAGCCTCTAATCTTTTTCACCTACTATCAACAGAGCTAAAAATATCATCTCACTGTGAACCAGGCCCCATTCAAAGTGTCTAGATAAAGCTACAACTGCACACTGAACACGTGGCATAGCCATCACGTACTTTTCATAGTGACTACTACTCAAAGTCTCAAGGTACAATGATAAATCACAGAGGAATGGTTACAAAGGCTGAGGCTGAATGCAGTCATCGAGAGGACACTCTTTGACAGAGCAACTATTAAAAAAAGGTAAAATTCTGTTTGAAATTCTTTTGAAGGCAGAGCTGTGCAGCAAAATAGCCTAGCCAAGTAACAAAGGCATCCTGCACCTAAGGCAGTCCGCAAAGCCAAAAGAAATTTCACAGAATTTATCTATAGCTACGATGCATGTAGAAGTACATGAGTTCCCTTAAAATCTTGAACAGAGTTAAAAACAGTGTTAGCTACCTACTATATCTAAAAAGATAGCATAGCCTTACCTGACTGTGGTTAATGGCTGTATGGTTACCGTGAAACGGAGAGTGCCTTTCCTTATCCCGATGGTGCCTGCTGCTGTGCTTGCTTCTCTGCAACTGTTGACGCAACTTTGCGATCTAACAAAGAAAAAATGTGAGTTAGGCTTTACCAGATATGCTCAGCTACATGCGGCTCCACGGCTTAATCGGTCACTTAACTCAGCCTCTACCACCAGAATTGTCATAATTATCACCAGCACTAAATTAAACTTGAGTTCCTGCAAAAGTAACAAAGTCAGATACCAATTCAGGTCCAGGAGATATGTCCTGAAGTTTAATGAAATACATAAAATTTGGAAATAATTAGATCACTGCTGTATTTCTGCTGCTGCTGAAGAAAGTCTTCCCCATTTAATAATTTCTTTTCCACCCACTGATATTAAAAAAAAATTAAGTCCTGTACTGTTACAAGAAATCAAACCAAATGAACAGCTGAAGTATATTTTAGCTTATTTTCAACCAAGCCCAAGCTTTGTCTAAGCTTTACATAATACAAAAAAGATACAACTTTCATGCCTTACTAAAAATTCAAGACAACAATGCGTAAGAGCAACAAACTTAACCCAAAATCATATTATATAATAGCATTCCTGACCTCCTTGAGTTGATCGTTACTGCCCCACGATGCTGAACGCTTGTGCGAGCTTCTCTTCTTTTCTAAATATTCTTCAGCCCAGGCACTTTCTGTCTACAGAAAAAAGGATTACCAGATTAATTACAAAAAAAAAAAAAAAAAAAGAGAGAGAGAATTTCTACTCCCTGGAAGAAATATTTTCTGACAAACTAGAAGAGAGAAGAGTGTTAAGATTTTCCAGATACAAAACTGCAAATGAAAAGTAGTCATTGAATAGAAGCCTTTCTAGCAAGTAAAACATGAAAACGTCTAGTGAAACTGTATATTTACCAACTTTCAGACCTCCTCCAGCATGAGGACATGCAAGTTTCCTTTCCACATTTCTATACATAGGTAAAGCAGTATTAATGGGTAGCTATATCATAAGTTAGTAAAGAGTGCTGAAGAACCAGCAGCACAGTGCTGAAGCTGTGGGCGATTTAGCCCTGTGCAGATGCTGAGCTAAAATAGCTTGACATAAATTACAGGAAATCCTGTACCAATGAAGCTTCAAAATCACGTTCATGCTCAGTAGAATGATAAAAGGGACGTCAAGCTACCAGAGTTATTCCGAGGCAGGGAATTAATTTATTAAAGCCTTAAAGAGCTTCAGGTTTACAATTGGCTCAGGTGCCAAGCAGAAAGCAACCCAAACAATACTATGCTACTTTCACTAAACCAACAAAGTCATTAACACACTTGAGAAAAGTGTAAATATATTACAACTAAAAAAAGATCTGGGTTCTTCAAAGTATCATTAAAAAAAATTGTGTTCATTAAAGGTAACAAAAAACACGAGCAAGCCTCCGATAGTAGTGCATGTTCTATGGACAAAAATTTGTATTTCTTCCCAACTATGTCTAGAACTGCCTTCAAAAGCAGTGAACTCTAAATCCTCTAGGTCAGGGATAACCTATCGGGAACCTCTATGCAGCCACAACATATCCAAAGAAGCAAAGGGAAGCATCTCTGGAAGCAGCAAACAAGCTGAAAGACAGTGACTTCCTTTATAGTCCCAGAGCTGCAGTGCCAAATTCAGCTTGCAGCAGCATCAGGGGTGCCCTGGCTACCTCAGCCTTAGGAGTCACTGAGGTCTCACTTTCTCCCACAGACAGAAACTTCAGCTGCCTCAGAGCCTCCAAATCCAAAATGCACAACAGTAGGACTATGTTTACACCACATCTAGGACAAACAGCTTGCAAGGCACAAGCTGACTGGCCTTACCCATCTATTCGCTGAGCACAGAAAATTGCAAAATCTTTAATGATATGATATTAATCTCCATTTTCTGGGTAAATGGAGATGTAACTCATCGAGCACATAGACTGCAATTTACACTGATTTCAGTTACAGATGGTGGTTTCACATAAATTAAACCTCCATGCAAAACCATCAGCAGGTTTTCCTATTAATGAGTGCAAATCAGCAACTAACTAGGGCAAATGTGAATAACAATTTAGTAGGTTTGAACAGGAATTTTGTAGGCAAAAATCAAAACCCATTTTTCCAGGGACATTTACCTTAATCACAGAATGATCCTTTCATGCTATAAAATCCCATCTATATTTTCCAACTTAATTAAAACAGAATAACTGACAAACCCTATTTCCCAACTCATAATGGTAGACCCAGTCTTTGCCTAGTCCATTCTCTAATTCTGGCCTGCAATCCTATGCTACCTTCTAGCTCCTGGAAAAATCCATTTTTTCTGTTAATTCTAAACTTCCCCACTAAGCACAACTACTACATTTGCTAATAAGAATCTCATTTACACTTCAATCAGTCCTTGCATATAATTTATACTCAAAACTTTGTACCAGATCTTAATATCTGATTCATTTTAAAGAATTAAAGTTTATTTTGATATTAATCTTCCAAGCAAACAGGTACAAGATTTTTTTAGAGCAGGAGTAGGAATAAGATGTTAAATTACAGGACACCTTTGCATCAAGCCAGAAATCTAATAGTGTTTTAGCAGGTCTCCTACCTCTTTCCTATATTTGATAATATATTTTAAGAACAAATAGATTGAACAACGAGCCAACATAAAGAAGGATTTTTATTTGTCTAGGTTCTTAACATACAATTACTTGCTTGTTAGTTATCTTTCACAATGCCTGTTCTGGAATTACAAGAAGCTTGTTTATGGGTATATTTTTCATATACTAGAACATAACAAAAAAGACTTTAGAAAAAGGCTCTAAAAACATTGTACTTGAAATTTAAATTATTCTTTAAGAGCTAAAAAAAAAAATTAAAAACAATTGTCTCATTTTAATCTGCATTTTGACATAGGAGTTTTTCAAATAATTACAGGCAAAGCCAAACAAGAAGACAGAACAGGTTACAAATACCTGTTCAAGCAACAATTAATAACCATGCCTCCATTTATGATTTCCTACCAGACCTGGAATGCTTATCTTATCAGACAAATAACATTCTGTATGCACATAACTCTGGTTTTAGAAATAAGTTGTACCTCACTAAAACAAAATGGTTGAAGTCTGATATATAGATAGTTTCTGCTCCAACTATGATCTCTTACGCAATTCTGATCTGTGATCTAGGGACATCTCTAACAGCCTGCAAGACAAAGCATGTCACAAACTGCTGCTGTTTCTCAGTCTGATTGAGCGCTCTCTCCACCGCACGAGGTCACGGATTCAAGATGCTCAGCTGACTCAACTCAGAAGGCTTCTACATCTCTGTAGCTTCAGCCTGCAATGGGGACCTCCATTAAAGCATGTGTCACATTGTTCATAGAAAAATAGACTTTAACTATCTGTTTTTTGCCAAACAGACTTTTTTGGCATCTTTTTAGGTTCTGAATATAAAAGTATTCATGGCTAGTACCTTCACACATGATTTGAAGCCTAGCTGTTGCAATAAAAGTATTTGAAGAATAAAAGAATTTGAAATAATTTTGAACGAGCTCTCGCAAGTGAGTATATAACCGTGTTTATCCATCTGCAACGTAACAACTTTGCCTCTCTTATATGCCTCAACTCCTGGTGTTAATCTAATTAGTTGATAGGCACTACTGGAAAATAAGTACAGACTCAAAGTATGTGAAAATGAGGGATATGACAGACTTTGTGAAATCCAAAATTACAAAGTGAAACCATGATACCTTGCAAGTGAAAGTTCATCTCTTCACAAACAAAAAACTGACCAGTTGAAGAATCTACACTCTTGGGAAATTAGTTACTGTTAAATCACATGTTTAACTCTGCACTAACTCAGATGGTTGTTCTCAAGCCCATTAGAAAGATTAAAAACAACAGCCTTGTCAGTGTCACATCAGCTCGAGGCTTAGACATCAGATGCAAGGTATCCCAGAACTTTCTACCTTGGTAGACACATTTTCAATTAGCAAGTGTAAAAATATCATTCTACTTCCTTCAGGAGTATATTAACATTAACATCCATTAAATACACTCATTCTGAGGAAATCCCAAATGGAATTTCATTTTTTTTTAATTCATGTATATACACACATATAGCCTTCCCACTAATCTTTGTAGATGTGTTTCCTTTCATATATAAAAGCCCATCCACCTTAGCAGCTGAGTGTGTCAGAATTAGAAGAAAATGACAAAAGAAAAGTGTAAGCCAAGAAAGAGAATATCTAATCTATTTGGAAAATATACAGATTTTAAGAACCCAGACATGACTAAAACCTAACTAAGCTGAAAGAGATCAACTAAATACAACAAATACTTTGGTAGCCTTTTAGAAATACAATTATTTTAGAGTAAAAAAAAAAGTAAGAAATCAAGCTTGCAAATACAGAGCTAAGGCATCCATGAGCTGTCTCTTTTGCCCTTTAATGAGGGTTGTTAATAGCTAAGCATGAATGGAAATACCTTGTATATCATATGCCTTCTTCTCTCACTACAATTTGTTTTCCCTTTTCACACCAGTTCATTTTCCCACACAGAGAACTTGCTCCTGAACAATTCCTCCTTCACCAGTTTTTAAATTATCATTTTCCCACACAGAGAACTTGCTCCTTCACCAGTTTTTAAATTACCCACTTGATCAAATTCCTCTGTGAAATACCTTACTTGTGCAAAATTTAGTTCAAAGGAAAAGATAGTGGACATCTTGGGGAAACCAGCTTGCATAGCTGCATTTTCATTATTGTTACCACTTCTAACGATGGCCGGTTTACACCCAAGTAAGCATCACATGTTGCCTGTGTATTTGGCGGACGCAGTTCTGATACATTATTAGGAATTGGGAAAAGTCTGTTGTTGTAACCATGCTCTAGAATTAAGGACTTAAAAATTTGAGATGGTTGGTTCTTTCTCTCACTCTACAAGTTAGGAAAATCCACTGCCACACTGTATACACAGAAGCCGGAATGAAAGTCTGATAATTGATGGAAAAACCCACCTTGAATCTCTTCTATATACAGCATGATACCATATAAATCTCTCCTTGTAAGGAGAATTTGATAAAACAAGTGCCAGGCAGTTAGCTTACAGCTCTGGCAATGTCACAGTTTCATGGAATGTTTGTTGGTTCTATCTTTGCAGAGAGCAGAGGAATGTATCATTAAAAGGTTGTAAAATACTGTCAAGTTCTTGAAGTTAATCACTAAATCAGGTACTTTTAAAATGCTTTGCAGCTCAACTGAATTTGAGCACAATTCGTTCTTTAAAGACAGCACTTCAATGTATATATTCCAGGTGAATATTAAAAGACTAGTTACAAACAGAGGACTAAAGGGTTTTCATAGGAAAGACTAGAATAACTTTTATGAAATACAAAACTTATGTGGTTCTGTTCTATAATTTCATATCAGGAGTCACATTAAGTTCACTCCCATAAACACTAAATAATATTTAACCAAAACAATGCTTTTTCTTCCACACAGTACAAACGATGAGAATACAGATGTGTGGTACACTAGTGCCTTTCCAAGAGAAAAGAGTAAGATGCCACAGTTCATGGCCTTCTCTTAGGAAACAATGTAAATAACCCAATGGTGAAATATCAAAGGCAAAACCTCTGTAATTTCAAAGTGAACAAGAACTTCCAAGCTAAAAAGCCAAAGTGAATGCTTCAAAGAAAAGCTTCTTGTATTTAAATCCTGTCTTCATACTTAGAGATGTTAGAAATATTGAATATTTTAAAGAAAAAAAAAATCTGTCCTCCCTGTGTGGCTTTGTCTCTCATACATGGAACAGCTTGCCCATGATTATCACGAGGCCACTGTCCAGCAAGATATGGAGCAGCAAGTGTATCCAGTGAGGAGGTGCGGCGGATAATACTGGAAGGGCTTGAGGAAGGTGGTCTTGACTTGTCAGCTGGAATGAGATCGTTTGATTAGGAAGAAAGCAAATCAAAGAGCTTAATTATTTTCATTATCTACAGTAAGTCATATATCAGAACTGCCTTTTTGTGCCAGGAAAGGGCAAGACAAGATAATTCCTGTATTGAAAGTAAGTTTGCTATTTCAAGCTCTATTCAGTTTTAATAAGCAATGCAATGTGTTTTTACCATTTCCCTGAAAAACATGCTATGTCAAAAACGTGGCACTGGTACCAATAAACCACCATTTATTCCCTCAAAAGCACAACAGTCATTGGATTCTTAAACAGGTAAGACCTAGAAGAAAATACAACAGCTAAGTTTCCTTATACCTGTCAAAGGCTAACAAAGAAAAGCCATGCGAAAGCATTTTCAGTTTAATACTAATTTTATTAGAATTCATAGCAATAAACTTTTCCCTTTGTCTACTTTAAGTCAAGCAGTATTGTAAGCTGACAAGTTCTAGTAACCACTCAAAATATGACATGTAACAGATTTGTAAAGAGGTGTATTTAACTCTTAATTCTAGATGTCAATTTTCATTAGATAATGATTCATTTATTACATTTGCTCCCTTTCAATGTTACTTGGTAGCTACGGTCACATGACCTTCACCTTCTGCAAAATGTTGTTATCTAACACTTTTATTGTTTAGGCTGACACCCCTTTTCAAAGGAATCTATATATTAACAGGAACCTTTACTGGAGGGGGGGAAAGCTTAAATGTAACAAATGTAGGAAGTGAAAACACATCAAAATCTGTTTTTTATTGTTGTTTTTTTAAGTTGCACACACGCCATCTATCAATTTTGTTTTAAAGTGGGGCTACAGTAAAAAATTAAGCTACAAGCTAGTAACTGTCAAACACTGGAAGGAAGGTTCCTCAACAAGGTTAAAGAATTGGCAAATGGAAAAGAGTCAGGTTTTAGATATACATATATGGCCCACGCATACACACAATTGTCATTAGTCATTACAGAGGTAGAAGGCCAATTCATAGACTCCAATGATTTAAGCTTATTATAAGTCTGGAGAGAACTAGATGGATTGATATCTGACAAATATCATATATTAATCTGATCTGTGAAGAATGCAAAGGGATGAAGCAAATGGCTAGAATGCAGCAAGTGACATGGAGATCAACAGGAAGCTTAGATCACTGGGAAGTCTAGTGACATTCAATAAATAATATGGCTTATGCAAATATTGCATTAATGCACATTAAAACAATGCAAAATATTTCAACTTAACTATAAGGAAATAATTATTATTGCTCTAATCAGCAGCTCTCTCAAATTACACTCAAATCCTCATCTGATTAATTATTTCTACAGGCACAAATGATCAAAATTGTACTAGTGATGAAGAGTCCTTTATCAAAGACTACTGTGATACAGCATAGGATACATATAATTGCACAAGACATCAAAGAGATCCCATGTATGCCAAACATGCTATTCGTTTGAGAAATAATTGCCATACTCTGCCTAAACATTTATTTTTCTTCCAAATTATTATTTTTACATTTTCAAGGAGGTCCTCTCTTTTGACAAAGGGGAAATAGAAAGGATGTGGAAATAAAAAGAATCAGGAAGTGTGTATGGTCAGGCCCATCATCTGTAAAGCAACTGCAACAGACATCTTCAAAATTGAAGCTGCATAAACTACTACTGCATCCCCTCCCCCAGCAAAAACCGAGGGAGCATTTTAGCAGGCAGACAGAACGAAAACCGAAGAGCTTGTTTACTAGCTAAGTTCAACTGAAGCTGCTTATTTCAAGGCACAAAGCATAAACACACCTTTTTTTTCCTTCTAATTTAAATATTCCTGCAGAATTAACTGCAGTATGGGATTCCAATTTCAACTCGTTTTTCATTTATATCGGACAAGAATTGCTGACGATTTAATACATTTTTGACTATTTTTTAATATCAGGCACTGTACTATCACAACACATCTTAAAACAAATTGCCAGTGTCTACTATTCAAATCCTCTTGGTGATTCACAACACTTCAGTGGAAACATTTACAACGTTTTCATTACATTTTCCTCTATAGTTCTTGGAGCAAGTGCTCAGCTGCTATTTTCCCTTTATGTGACCTACATAACAAGAGATCTGCCTCCATAGAGATAACAGTTACAACAGCTGCGGCTGATGAAAAACAATGGAGCTGTTTCATCAAACTGAAGCTTCTTAAACATTAGATTTGTTTTAAGTGGCTTGATTATCTCTTTAAACCAATATTTGGGACAAACACCAGCCCTGCTCTCCCCACCTAACACCAAAATCTATTTGGAAACAAAGCTTTCTTTGCAATCTTGTTTGAAATAAAGCAAAATAATAAAACAAACTATCAATTGAATCTATAGAATATAAATTAAAAAAAAAGCTATAGTATGAGGGGAAAAAAAAATCTAGTTACCACATCTCAACAAATCACTGCAGCACAACGGAAGTCAATTGCTTTGGCACATACCTATTGAAATTTTAGGAAGAGGCACACACCTGTGAAAATGCATTAAGCTAAGACAGTCGAGCAGTGTGACTGAACAAGGCAAAACAAAACACAGATGTTTACCAATAATGCTGTGAAAGTTAGTGAAAGGACGCTGACTTTGATGTACTGTTAATCAAATTCTATAGCTACTACTATAATGACAATTGGGGAAAAAAAGAAGGAACCGATACTGTGAGCACACACATCTTTGAAATAGACATGGGAAAGGAGAAATTTGTTACATACAAAAACTGGGCAAGTCTCTCATGAAAAGGTCCTAAAGAGAAAAAAAAACACTCTGAAGAATAATCTTTAATTTTCCTAAAAAAAAAGTCCAGAACTGTTGCTAGGTGCTCAAAGCACAAAATAAGTATTACTGATGAAGTATAACCTGAAGATTGATCTTACATCCCCGATGTTATTTTTCTAAGCATTTCTAATTAAAATTTTCTAAAAGGAAACTAAAAGCTTCAAAGAACTGTTTTCTGATAGACACCATGAACAGAAACAAGACCAGCAAGCAGTGGAAAGCTATTTTTTTTCCTCTGACAAAGAGAGTTCTAACTGAAGCCTTATATACACCTGAAATACCCAAACCGAGATAAACAAGCTTCTCTGGCATCTGGTAATATCTGAATGGGTTTTTTAGTCAGTTTTCTCTCCTCAAACCAACTCTCTTTTTCCCAGAAACACTAAGAAAATGCAACCACAACAACTTGTTCATGTTTGGTTGAAAGTACTCACCAGGCTCAACTGCTTTAAGGTCAGACGCAGAGTATGATGCACATACTCACTCTGGAAGATGCAGACACAGGATTGCCTCCCTCCCCACTACTAGCAATGCCCTGCCTAATGCCACCTAGTCATTGACCTAATGTCGTCTTTGCAAGGAGGGTGCATGGCTGGCCCAAGGACAACTTATTACCCACCAGGACCCCAGGTCCTTCCCTGCAAAGCTGCTTTACAAAGGACTGACCCCCAGTTGAAATGCCACAGTGAAATTTTAGAGCATAATGGAGTTCCCATCCTTCTATCCTCCCCAAGGAGGGTCTCCCATCTAAACTCTTTAAGACTTTCTGATATACGTTGATATCATTTTCTTCCACCACTTCCTTGCACACGTCAGCTTTAATATCACTCTCGCATATACTATTCTAAATGGTAAAAGACAATGACAACAGCAACAGAGCAGAAAGTTCACTATGCAGAAACAGTATTTCTCAGAATTTCAGGACTCTTGAATTGGACAGTAGATGACTAACAACATTGATTCTTATCTTCTTGTTCACATAGCCTCATGTGTCCCAGCATTTCTGCAGTTGAACACCAGTGTTCAAGCTCTCATGAGCTTACTCTTTGGTTTGCATACATAAGCACACTTTTTCTGGAACTCAACATCTATCTACTGGTCTCCCTTGATATTGAAGCTTGGTAATCCAACCATCTGGCTCCTAAAGCTCCAGCTGTACCTTACTCACTGTCTCTAAAGTGGAGTTGTGATTTGCAGTTGAACTCTTCTCTGACCTATTCTATTAAAGAGCACAAATAACTGAAGATCACATTTGCTCTTTACTCAGTAGATAAACCAAAATAAAAATAGTAGAGCATATGCATTTTGGACCTACTAATAGGTCAAAATGAGATTATTTGTTCCCAGTCTAAACCATGCGCTTTCTTATTTTAAATAAGTATGTTCCAAGATGCAAATCATACCTCAGGACATCCTCAGTGGAAAACTCCAATGCAACTATATATGAAGCTCTCTCTATTTCCACACTTTGACAAAAGGACATCTAGGATTTCCTCCGTGGTGTCATACTGACCATTCTCCACTCAGCTAACAGAGCCCCAAACCACCTTCAACTAAACAATTCTGCTCCTACTTTCAGGTATAACAGGATCCCCTAAGGGGAAATAGAACAAAGAGAGGGAACTTTGACAGTGATGTCATTAATTGATTCCCAAATTTGTTGTGTGGAAAAGCTATTGAACTGGGAGTCAAGCAAAATGTATCTGGAAGAAGGGGAAGAAAAAAAAATCAGATGATTCTAACTTTCTCTGATAAACATGTTTGCAGCTAAAGTGTATGCAAAAGGCAAGCCAGAACTGGGATTGGCAGCACAGACTCTGCAGTGTAGAAGGGAGGTGTAAGAGTCAATCACCCCAGAAGTCATAGGGAAGACAGAGATCAAAAACCTTAAAAACAGTGTTGATTAACACGATGTAGAAGCTGAAATCGGAGAAATTGGATTTGGAGACTATAGGAAAGGAAAATAAAAGCTGAGAAAGCAGTCAGAAGAAATATCTTGGTCCTACTGGTCAAAAAAAAAAAAACACACTGCAGTCCTGTGCCACGTGCTCTAGGTGACCCTGCGTGTGTAGGGGGGTTGGACTAGATGATCTCTAGAGGTCCCTTCCAACCTTCAGCATTCTGTGATTCTGGCACATTTTAAAAGTTGCTCTCGTGTTAAATATACTGGAGAAAACATTACGTTCA